TCATGCATGATCCTAGTTCATGTTAAGATGGCTAATGCAACACATGCGAAAATACAACTAAGATAGGCTCGGTTATCCTAAGAGTGTCATGTGAAATGCAACTTGGTACATGTATTCAAATAGATATTGAAAATACAATGCTGGTTTGTATGATGCGCCGAGCCCGGTGCATGCAATACAGATGAATGGATGCTCGCATGTAAACATAAGGTATGCTAAACGAAATATGCCCTAAAACTAACCATCGTAAACAGTTAAGTAAAAAGGAGAAAGAAATAGGGGTTGGAAGACAGGCATCACACACACGCACGCTTATTACAACAATTAGCCCTCTCAACGGAGGGCCGAATAAGAAGCTAACTAGCTAGTCTAAGCTAATTAAACTAATTATTACAACACAATTAATTAACTAATCCTAGTTAACTAATTATTACAAAACAAATTGAAATAGCTAAACACCTTAACTATTAAAGGTACAAACCAAAGCGAAAGCTAGCTATCTAAGCATGGCAGCTAAGGAAAGCAGTAAATCAGCAGACTTAGAAGGAGAGGAATGCATGCATGCCCGGTCGCCTCGTTCGGAAATCCAATGCGATGCCCCGATTTGCCTCTATTTTCAATTGTCCTCAGAAACTTGCACCAAGCTCCAGAAAGCTGAAACTCCACCTTGGGGACCCTGTGGGAGGGTGGCCGGTTGTTGGTGTCTGCAGCCATGGCCGACCACCTATCTTTGTTGAAAGTTAGAAAAAGTGGTCGGCCAGCTAGTTTTTCTGGCTGGCCGACCAGTTGTTGATGCTGAACTACTATTTGCTACAACAGAGAGCAAGAAAGGGCATGGCAATGTATTTGCAAGATATGTGTGCACAACCACCCTCCCTATCATGTCATGAACTCAAGGGAGTGTAGTTCTCGACCCTTGGGCCATCAATCGCGCATTTCAATGCGTGATGGCTGAGAGGCAAAGTTGCACAATTCAATATAAAATTAATGCACAAGTAAACACATAAAGCCTAAAACTCTATCATGCATGATCAAGAGCATCAGCGACCGGGAATTAAGGCACGTTTCATCACTTCAAGTATGAAACGTCCCTCGTTTCCCGTGTTTAGACTAACACCTATTCCAAACAACAATGCAACACATAACATGGCATACACAATGTGACTTGAGCATGCAAACATGCAATATGACTTAAGCATGCAAACATGCAATGCAATATGAATAACCTAACAAGGCTAATGGCATACAAACAATGCTAATGCATGCATGCACAATGCAATGCTACAAGGGTAACTTAGCAATGTTAGGAACATACATACTCAATGCAAGGAAACAACTTGGCATACACAATGCAAATAACCACATGGCATGCACAATGCAATGTAAGATGGCATACTTAATGCAATGAACAATAAGTATGCGAACAACATATAAACAAGCATGGTAAATGGACTTAAGCTAAAAGGGGGTAGACCTTAGTCATGCCCAAACCAGTGGCCATTGGTGATAAAATTAAGGCACATAAAGCACATATGAGCATGCACAATGCAATGGCCTATCAACAAGGCCTAAGAGCATAACTCTCAGGAGTGCTCAAAGAGTGACAAAAGTGGAAGTGTAACAACACTAAGTGCACTAAAATTAGACAAGAAATGATGCCAAATCACCTAAACAATGCAAGTAAAGCATGCTAGGGTCCTAAAGCAGGAAAGCTAATAAAGAGGACTACAAAGAAGGCATGCAATACATGGCAAATAAGCATGAACTAAGCATCGACAGAGCTCAAGTAGGTCAAAACAAAGACCTAAACATGCTGAGATGAGGACTCAAAGACCTAGGCATGCAAGCATACAAGCTAAGCCATAAACTAGGCAACAATGCACAACACTCAAAAACACTTAAAGAGTGAATGAACTGGGAACATGGCAATGCTAAAAGCTCTGAAATGTCATGTTAGATGATGCCAAATCATGTACACAACACAAATGAAGCATGCAATGGTGCTCAAAGCTTGAAGCAAGCAAGAGCACTTGCACTACAGGTATGCAAAACATGAAGCATGTGATCAAGGTAATCCAAAACAGTCCTAGAACATGTTAAAATAAGTCTAAAACATGCATGGAAGGAAGCTAAAATAAGCTAGCATGAAGGGCATAAGGCATGATGTATACAAGGCAAATGAGGTGGATTACACTCCACCTATTAAGACCAAGCATGGGATGACTTAACCAACAAAAATTAAAGTTATATCATGGCAAGATAACCCTAAAAACACATCGAAATGACAGCTCGCAAGCTTAGGCATGAAGGCATACACAATGATTCATGTTACGGCATAAACGGGCAAACCCTCCAACGCATTGAATGAGTGATAAATGCAAGTGCATGACCATGAAACATGGACTGAAATCATATAATAAATGATGCCAAATCATTCAAATAGTCCAAGTAAAGCATGCTAGCGGACTCGATACACAAAGCTAACAAGCTAGAATACACTATAGCTATACAAAGCATGGCATGCATGGCCAAAACAACCAAAATAAGAGCTAAAGCATGTTAAAACATGGACAAAAGCTTCATGAAGTTAAGCCAAAAGCATGCTAGAATGACATGTTAAAGCGTGAGACACACTAGGCTATTTCATGGAAATACACTACAAGTGCATGGAGCATGCAAAGGCTAACCAAACCAAACCCTAACAAAGGTATGACATAGCAAAACATCACCAAAAACATGCTGAAATGGACTCAACATAAACTAGAATGACATGCTATTTCATGAAGCATACAAAGCTAGTGTGTGTGATTTACACTACAAGTGTATAAGCCATGCAAGGGATGACCAAACCAAACAAAAACAGTGGTAAGCCTCAGGAAAATAACCATAAATATAAGCTAAGATATGGCCAATATAAGCTTAACGAACATGCTCAAACCTAACAAAGGTATGACATAGCAAAACATCACCAAAAACATGCTGAAATGGACTCAACATAAACTAGAATGACATGCTATTTCATGAAGCATACAAAGCTAGTGTGTGTGATTTACACTACAAGTGTATAAGCCATGCAAGGGATGACCAAACCAAGCAAAAACAGTGGTAAGCCTCAGCAAAATAACCATAAATATAAGCTAAGATATGGCCAACATAAGATTAACGAACATGCTCAAACATGAGGCATATGAAGCAAGTAAACAAGACACAAGGAGAGGGGATGACCCTCTCCTATTTAGGACTTCAAAACCACATTTACCCCACTAAAAATCCTCTGGATTTCAGTGGTAGAAAGGTTATGCAAAGACAAAAACAAGAGCCTAAAGGGATGTCTCAAAATAAGGCCTAACAAGGCCTAAGAGAGGGTAGATCACCCCCAATGAAAAAGTAACCTTAAACAAACATTTTAAGCACACAAAAACAGAACTTTTTCCAGTTAAGAGTTAAGCTTAAAAAAGTATGCAAGATGGGCTAAAAGCTTAAGCAAGAATGGGGGATTTAAGGGTTAATGACTCACCCTTGAAGACCTTCTTTACTATTGCAACTCCAGCACACTTTTTGAGCACAAACCAGTCCAAGAACACCAAAAACCACTTCAAGAAGCCTCAGCAACACAAGCAAGGTGTTTGAGTGTGTGTTTGTGTACAAAAGTGAGACAAAACTACACTTTAAGGCACAAAAATAAAGCAAAGAAGGAAGTATAGATACAAGGCTATATCTATCACTCAAGCTCCAAATTTTTGAACCTAGAGGAGGGAGGAGATGGTTCTCTCTTATAGAGAACCAAAAGCAAAGCTTCTTGGAGAAGCTAAGGTTCAAGGCAATCCCTCCATACACGTGTATGGAGGATAGCTTTAGTGCCTTCCAGATGTGCCAGTTGGAGGAAAATATCTCCAAAAAGGTGGCAAAAAGCATCGACCAGCTACTTCAAGTGGTCGGCCGACCACCACAAGTGCTCTCCCAAGACAACAAGTGGTCAGCCATGGTGGGAGATGATCAGCACACTGAAAACTAGCCAGGGGTGGGGTGGTCGACCAGAAAAGATGGCTCAAAGACCTAGGAGACCAGTTGTCAGATCAAAAAATTGGCTGGCGGGAAGAAAAGTGGTCTTCAAGGAAAAAAAATGGTCTCCCACCCTTGTACAACCTTCCAAACAAGGAAAATAAGGTTTGTACAAAAAAAAAACCAAAACGGATGCAAGACGAAAGTTCGGGAAGCAAAGCACGCAGCCGGGAGCCTCGAAAACTAGCTGACAAGCACCAAAAGTGGTTTACGACCACAAAAGTGGTCTCCCAAGCCACAGTGGCCCTGTAGGCCAAGGAAACAAGGTGTGGTTCAAAAACCATGCCAAACGGAAAACGTTAAGCGGTCCCGAGACAAGGCACGCGGCCGAAGGCTTCGAAAATCGGAAACTAGTCTCCAAATGGGAAAAGTGGTCTACGACCACAAAGAGATGGTCTACAAGACCTCTCCCTCCCTCAGGGAAGAGAAATAAGGCCTGGTCCACAAACTGAACCGAAGCACAAAGAGTTAAGAGGCCCAGGGGGCAAGGCTCTTAGCCAAAACTCCGGAAACTCGAAACGAGCACAACATGCACTATCATTGAGCGCTCAATCGATGACGTCTGAGTCTTAATGTCGGTCAAAAATGGGGTGTCTACACCTACAAAAACCATGCTCGTTGTGTAAAAAAACTTGAATGTGGTTTTTTTTTTTTAAACTTGGAGTACCATAGGCACGGTGGTTCTTTTATGATGAAATGTGGTTCTTTTACGATAAAATCATGAAACTGTCCTATTTATACCCAAAAGGCAGTATAAGTTGATTTTACTATTGCCCAATACTATCAATTTAAGTTAATTGAATAAATCTGACAAAGACATGAGTCATTACACATTGTTTTCCTATGCATTTTGATAGTTTCTTAAGACCAAGAATCAAACCATCTAATTCAAGCAATCAATCAATCAATCAAAACCACACACATAATAATATAAAATTCTAAACCTGCCAATCAATAATACCAAGAACAAAAAGAGATTAGATTCCACAATAAACATAGTTAAATCATTACACTATAAAATATATATATATATATATATAGAATTTGAAAGTAGACTAACAAATATAAGGGTTCTCTATTAAACCAACTGATAATGATGAAATTATAAACAACCAATTAGAGGATTCTATGTAAATAAGAAGATTTTTGTAAATGAGATTAATCAAAGATTAAATAGGATGATACTACAAATCCAAATAATTAAGTTATGAAATTCAAAACCAATTAACTGGAAAAAAGAAAGAAGAAAAAAAAATCTAATATCTATCATTAACACAAAGAAGCCATGAATTTGAAATCTTAGTAAATAAAAACTCTAACTCAACCTTTATAAGTCAAACAAATTCACTCATGAATTTACCTTTTATATCAATAACTCATGCCAATTAAACAATATCAATAACTCAATAAATCAAAATTTTATAGATACTGAATTTATAATTGATTATTGAATTTATCTTCTTACTTACATTGGTAAAGTTTCGAATTTCATAGAAATTGAATACATTTGTACCAATTAAACAAAACCAAAATTTTAATTGAGATACGCGGTGGGAGTGAGTGGAAATCATTCCATTATGAATCTTCAGCCTAAAACAAAATCCGAACACAGGTGGGCTGAACTGGTGGTGTATGATGAGATTACAAATGTACATTAAATATTGAGGGGAAAAAATAAAGATTGCACATTGTTTTCCTATGCATTTTGTTAGTTTCTTCAGACCAAGAAATCAATCAAAACCACACACATAATAATATAAAATTTTGAACCTACCAATATCAATAATATAAAATTTAAGCTAAAGATACACTGTTTTATGTCAATATCAATAATCTGCCAATCAATAATACCAAGAACAAAAAGAGATTAGATTCCACAATAAACATAGTTAAATCATTACACTATGACAAAAATAGAATTTGAAAGTAGACTAACAAATAGAAGGCTTCTTTGTTAAACCAATTTAAAAAATTCAATTTAAATTACCATGCTTCATATACAAAATGATTCATATACCATGTTAATTTAAACTAACAAAATGCATAGGAAAACAATGCTTCACACACAAACACAATGTTTCATATACAAATTACCATAAATGTAAATAAAGCAATTAAATTGGAAGTAATTTTCTATTTTGAAGCACTCTTACTGCAATTGAAAGCTTCTTAGATACATACCAATACCAAAAACAATGCTTCTAAACTAAAACAAAAAAATAAATATATTCAAAAGAATTATAGCGATCTCGGGTTTACCCTTGTTGTACAGTGATCCGGACATGTGTCCGTGGATGTTGGTAGTTGGTTATTATAGTGTTTACATTCCTTTTTCTTCATATTTGAGTTATAGGATGTGTTAGGCAGGTTTGTTACAGGTTGGTTGTGTTCGGGAGCCTAGTGTTGCTGCCCAGAATTTTGGACCTTAGCTCGAGCGAGGAGTTGGTCGCTCGAGCGAGAGTGGGGTTCGTGTTTGGTGGGTCGAGCCAGAGTGGCTCGCTCGAGCGAGTGGTTGCACCTGGTTCTGGACCTGAGAGTTGCCTTCCTTGGCTCGAGCGAGCTTCCTTCGCTCGAGCGGTCAGGGTTTTTCTTCGCTCGATCGAGAACTTCTTGGCTCGAGCGAGAGTTTTCTGTGTCTGGTCGCTCGAGCGACCAAGTCTTCGCTCGAGCGAGCGTGTTTTATATCAGCGGACAGTAGCGATTTTAAACATCACTTTTTCACTTCATTCTTCTTTCAAACCCTTGATCCGACACACTCTCTCTCTACACTTATATTCTCTCTAAGATTTGATCTCCCTAGAGTGTGAATCTAGCCTAGGGCCTTTGTTAAAAAGATAGAGGGTGTTGAGAGCTTCGATTTAATCTGAAAAAGTTTGGATTTGGAGCACGTTGATCTTCGAGTCTTCATCTCCTTTTTGGCTAAAACTTCAAGGTAGGGATGCCAAGGCTTTACTACTGCATGTAGATCAGTTATGGGCACATGCCTTATTGTACCATGCTTTTGACATGCCTGGCAGCTCTTTGCGTATTCTATGCAATCTTTAAGGATAGTCGGCCAATAATAGGAATGTCTTCGAAGCAACCATCTCATTTTTACGCCAGGCTGATGTGCACCACAGATTCCTTCGTGAACTTCAGCCATGGCTATTAATGCTTCTTTTGGCCCTAAACATTCCAATAATAGACCATCTCCCCCTCTTTTGTAGAGATCATTGTTGTATATGACATATTGCACAGATTGCAATTTAACTCTTCTGCTGGCTTTCGAGGATGGGCCAGCCAAGTATTGTATTATTGGATGTCTCCAATCCTGTTCCTGCAGATCATTATAATTGATTTCCAGGACCATGTTCCTCTAACTTAAAGGTGGTATAGGTTTTTGGTATGTCGTTTGGCTTACATTCCAATGGGTACCATCTTTACTCTTGAAATTCGAAGCTTTCTGCGCCACATCGTTAGCTCTATTATTCAAGAATCTCGGGACATAAGTTACATTTACTATTTCAAATTGAGAGAGCAAACGTAATGCGACGATATAATATGGCAGCATACTTATACTTTGACACTTGAAAATCCCTTTTACTTGGTTAACGACCAATTGGGAATCTCTAAATATGTCAACTGCGTGTACTTGTAATCCAATAAGAATTTTCAATCCTACTATCAAAGCTTCATATTCAGCTTGATTATTAGAACAAACAGTTTCATCCACTCTGAAACCATGTGTGGTTTCTATTCCTTGTGGTGACCTGATCACTATACCAATTCCAGTTAGGTCATTGGCTTTCGATCCATTGAACCACATTTGCTATGGCTCGACACTAGCCATACTGAGTTCCATTATCTCTTGACTCTCTGTTTGAGATGGATGGTCTGCCAAAAAATTGGCTAAAACTTGACCTTTCACTGCCCTTTGGGACACATATTCTAAGTGAAATTCTGACAAGGCTAATACCCATTTGCCAATTCTTTCCCTCAACATAGGTCTAGATAACATATATTTAACCAAATCTGTGGTTGCAATTACCAAGACAGTCATAGGCAAAAGGCAATATCTTAATTTCATTACAGCAAAATACAGCACAAGGCAAAGCTTTTCTACAGCTGAATATTTACATTCACAAGAATTTAAAAACCTATTAAGGTAATAAACAGCTTGCTTCCTGCCTTCCTCATTGTCTTGGGCTAAGAAAGCTCCCAATGAATCTTCTGCTGCAGCTATGTACAACTTCAAAGGCTTAACGCCATTTGGTGGCATCAATACTGGAGGGTTGGCCAAGTAGGCTTTGATTCCATCGAAAGCACTTTGATGCTCTGTTGTCCACACAAATTCCTCTTCATCTTTCAGCTTTAATAAGGAAGAAAAAACTTTAGTTTTCCCTGCAGTGTTAGAAATGAATCTTCGAAGAAAATTAACCTGTCCAAGGAACTTTTGTAATTCTTTCTTACTTGATGGAGGTCTAGCTTCAATGATAGCTTTGGCTTTATTCTGGACGATCTGTATTCCTTTCTTGTGTACTACATAGCCCAAGAAGTTTCCAGATGATACGCCAAAAGCACACTTAAGAGGATTAAGCTTCAATTTGAACCTTCTCATTCTTTCAAAGGCTGCCTCTAAGTGAAACAAATGTTCCTCCATGGATTGGGATTTAACCACAATGTCGTCAATATAACATTCTAAATACCCACCAATAAGGTCATGAAAGATAGTGTTCATAGCCCTCTGATACGTGGCCCCGGCATTCTTCAGGCCAAACAGCATTTTGACCCATTCGAAGGTCCCAATATTCCCAGGGCACCTAAATGCTGTCTTGTGAACATCTTCCTCCGCAATGCAGATTTGGTTATAGCCTGAGTGCCCATCCATCATTGATAAAATGTATGCGGAGGCGGAGGAAACCAAACCAGACTGAAACCTCTGAACTTGTCATTCTGAAACAATCTGTAAATACTCTGTATCCAACCCTTCTCGGAAACACTCAGCAACCCAAAAAACAGTGGCCTCTTCTTCCCGTTCAGCTACCCAGAACATGGCCTCATCTTCCCGTGGTCTGCTCACTCTCTTTCCCGACCTCAACGAGTCAACAGGAGAGATAACAGGTGCGGTGGCCCG